GCTTACTTGAACAGCATAATTGTATATCGTATTTTTAACCATGGAATGGGTCCCAGATAGCGCTTGGTGGAATCAATTGTATCCTTTTCTTCTGACTTTGGTGGATGAGGGAGCTTAGCAGTCTCCGGTGCTGGGCTGTGTAGCAAAGCTTCAGGAATTATGACTTCTGGTATCAAAGGACGGGATATTTATGAGCTGAACTCAATGCAGACACATTACTTCCTTGCTCACTTTTGACACTTCCTATTGTAACTGGGATAATTAGTGCCACACCACGGAATCTTGTTGAAGTAAATTTCCTCTTGCTGAATATAATGTAGTTAGCAGATTGGCTGCAGGCTCCATCCTTGGAGTCAAAGGATTGCTTTTTACAAGTTGCAAATAATTTTTTCCCCTAAACTTGTTAGAATATTAGGAGACTTGCCAGATGCTTCAGGCCAAGAGGGAAATTGCCTAGATGTGTTGAGAAATGTAACATTTGAGTTTCAAATAACACTGCCTTTTTTTTTTTATGCAATGGTTGTTATAATGATGATAGTGAAAGAGTCACAGGAAGGAACGGCACCTGGCTGGGTTTTGTTGTGTTCAACGTCCAGGCAGAGTTGTACATTTGGTGAGAACATGGATGGCGACCAGGACCAGGTCCCAAGGCTGTAGATTGGATTGAAAGTGACTGCCTAAAATGACTAAGCTTGGTCAGATTGATTGATACTATGGGAAACATCTCAAACTATATCAATAAGATGGAGATGGAGATAGAAAGAGAAAGAAGATATATTTTTTCTTTGGATCAAATTCATATAACTCTTCTCCAGGAACAAAAACCAGATTCTCCCACACCCATCCAGCAACAGGGCAGAGAACCCCTTGCTAAAATTTTTGAAGCCCACCCCTGCTTTGGTTGCATGGTTGAGGCCGGCATCTTGGCATTTTTAATACAGATCCAGTTCAGGTAGATCACAAGGTCCTCAATGCAACATTCATCTGCCTGATCTCTCCATTGCAAATGACAGAGAGGATGAATGTCTAATATTGATGCAGCCCTCATATGTTCACCTCATCCTTCAGCTGAAACAGCACCCAACGCTCTAAGGCTAGATGGAGAATAAATAAGAAGAGACCCAAAACACCACCCACACAGTAGTGGACAAAAGGGAAAAAAGGGAAAGACGTAGGGAAAATGAAATCCCAAACTTAGATCTTCAGGTTGTCCAGCAGTTCTTATCACAATCAGGTGAGGAACGAGAGGATACCTTTTCCCGCCTAATCTCCAGGGGGAACCTGTGTCTGACAGGTTACAAAGGAATTCCTTTCACTCTGTGAAATAATTTCACGTATTAAAGCAAGATGTTCCAGGGGCCGAAAGCAATGGACCAGTCGTGGATGGATGAGATGCATTAAACTTCTCAGCCAACGATCCTGAAGAGCTTTAGAAAGTAATTTGCTTCATATGCGCAGCTTCCCCAGACCGAAGAGGCTGCCGATTTGCTCCGGTTAATCATCATCCTTTCAGCTGCTGGAAAAATCTTGGCTTACAACACTAAAAGATAGGAAGGGGGTTATTAAAAACAAGACAACTTTTTAACAAATGGGGGTTGTGGAGTTGAAAACACAAAGGGCTTGATGTTAAAAATACTTACAGGCAGACAGGATGCAAATAAGGGAAAGGCAGTGTTTTATGTCTGCATCCTGGTATCTGGAATTACTTATGATCCACACTCATCACTGTTTTTTTATATACAGGAAAGATATTGAGTGGAAATCAAACATAAAAACAGAGGGCACCTGTGAGGAATCCAATGAAACAGGAAAGGCAAATTCAGTTTCCCAAACTAAAATTTATATATTATACAAATTAAAAGATTCTTGGCAGCATATCTCAACTTAAACGATGCAACAACGTGTTCTATTGCAATCCCTGAGTGAGAATACTTAAAGGATATTTTATGGGATATAAAATGGGATGCCTAATGGGATGCCTACATCCTTCACTGATGGGTTGGCAGGTCCATTATAGAAGTCTTTATCAAGGTGGAGGCATTTCTGTCAGCCAAAACAGGAAATTGTATCATTAAGCCCAATTATATGATTTTTTAATAGTCTTTTGAACATTGCCAAAATCAACTGAGCTTATGTAAAGTATATACCAGTATACTTTATTAACAAATGTGGAGCACCAATATCTATTGCTAATCATGAGGATTGTCATAGTGAGAATGCAGTGTTGCAGGCTGACTCTGCCCACTGCCAGCAGTTTGATCCTGACCTGGTCAGTAAAATGAGGACCCAGATTGCTGGAGGCAACAGATTGACTCTGTAAACCTCTTAGAGAGGGCTGCAAAAGCAATATGAAGCGGTAAATAAGTGCTAGTGCTATTCCCAAATGATGTGTTGTGTGCCACATTACCACATACAAGCTCTCATTTTGTCACCTGGCATCCTTGTGACTGCCTGGTGGTGTACCCTATGCAGATACACACAACTGAATGGATGGGAAGATTTTTCAACCGCAGCTGATGTTAAGACCATCCAACCTCTGTATTTTGTGGCTCTATAAACTACAGAATTCTAGCTATACTGTAGCCAGAGGCAGTTCTCCATCAAATTCATGGCTGGATAGGGAATAGATTGCCTCATTCAAAAGGAAGAAAATGCATCTAATATATGATAACCTGTATTTTTGGACTGGCTCTGTTTATATTTTGTAATTTATTGGTAGTGTATGTTTCTTTAACAGAACATTGGCTAATTCATGAGAGGCCTTTTTACATCCTTATACTAACTTGCACTCAGAGAGGAGGGGGGTCGTGACATGTTAAATGAGTGGGGTTTCAATCAAATGGCCATGGTCATCCTCATGCCTTTTTAAAACTTCACTGTGAAGCTTCCTACCATTACCCAAATATCCATTCTAGGTATGAATATTTATACTCATTTATATACTTCAAACGTAACAACTTCTAGTAATGTATTAAGCAGTTCTTTTGTAAGCTAAATGGATCTGCTACTGAAAAATAGGTGGGAACAGTCCATGCTATTTGTATTAAATAGCTTTCCTCTGAAAGTTGATTTCCTGTCTTCCCACCTGCTCCTGCTCCACTCAGCTCTCACCTCCCTGCAGAAATGAGGATTTGGAGAATCAAGAGTTCTCCACCGTGGCCTTTTAAAGGACTCAGCAAATGGAAATGGACACATGAGATGGATTGATAGTGGTTTTGGCAAGGTAGGTTAAAGAAATATGGAGCAATTCAAAAGTCATTTGTCCAGACTCTGCAGGGTGAGCCTTTGGCCCTGTAAAGGAATTCATGGAAGGATGAGAAACATCTTTTCTTTCTCTGATTCGGACCCTTCATGGAACCAACTGATACGAAGAAATGAAGGGTTACCCCAAAGGGTTCATGGAGGGACTCCCACTCCAAGCTCAGGTCAAGCTCTATTCCTTGACACTGACATCCCATCTGTCAAACATCAATTTCACATTATAACTGACAACTTTACATTCAGTCAAGTGCAAGATCACAATACTTCTGAACAAGTATGTCCAAGAGATGTGGCTCTACAGCCAGTCCAGTATGAGTTTATACAAGTTCTTACTATTTTTACAACAATTCTCAGGAGGAAGGGAATTTACTATTCCCTTGAAATGAGTTTGAGCTCGTATAGAACAGCAATTAAAGTATTAGTCTAGGTCAAGGGACGGGGACGGAGAGGATTTTATCTGTCTAGGTCAAGGGAAGGGAGGATTTTATGGTTCTTCAAGTCAGCCTTTACTTGTACATTAAGTGTTGTACCTTATGATTCTTGACGAATGTATCTCTACTTTTTATGTACACTGAGAGCACATGCACCAAAGACAAATTCCTTGTGTGTCCCAATCACACTTGGGCAATAAAGAATTCTATTCTATTTTGCACTTTGATTTAATTTAAGTTAGATGCAAATTACTCCTCCTCTCATTGTATAAATTACCATTTGGTGACAACTTTTGAAGGCTTCTGGAAGTTGCATATGGATGTAGTTGAGTGTCTTTGTTCTCACAGGAACTAGTCTGGATAAGGACATCTGCAATATTCATTGGGAAAAAAATGGCAAGCTTTTCCTTGGGAACTTTTTTTCCTTGTGCAAACTGCACGTGTGGGGGTCTTTATCTGAACTGTGACTTCAATAGGAGCAAAGAATTATAGCCCCTACCTCTCAGGAGAGGATATAATGTGCATGGTTGATGGCCTTGACCCCAAGTGTTAGGAGTTACATAGATTTCATCATGCACTTCTAGGAAGATTGAAATCATAGCTACATTACAAGCAAAGTAATCTGAGAGTTGTAACTCAGCCGCTCATCACAAACATTCTATTCACAAATAAGACATCTGTCCTGGTCTAATAGAAAATGCAACTTAATTTGGGGGGGGGAACGGATTCAATGGGGATTCAGATGAATTGTCTTTAAAATAGAATTGGTAAATTAATTTCATACACATTTGGTTGAATGTCTTCAAACCAACTTGGTGATTTGATGGTTTTCTGTGCATGGCAGAATCAGATCAAAGCAATCTAATGATCTGAATGTATGATTTAAATCAAATTGACTCTTCATGGACAATTCAGGATTACAGGCCTTTGAGCCTAGCAAAAGTTAGAAAGATGGAACGCGATAACCCAGTGCTTGTTTGAATGCCAGCTACTGAGAACTGCTCTAAAACAAACTTTACACAGTCAGCCTTTTAAGGATGAAAAATCACCTATTAAGGAGGATAGATGGCAAATGGCCACCAAAGAGGAGGAAATGCTTTGTGGTTGGTAGCCTGTTGATCATCTGACACAACTTCTGAATGTGCTTTTGTCCATTGGTTTCATTTTAGAAAGACCTCATCTCCTGCATAGACTTTCCCAAGGGGAGAGGCAGACGATGAAGTAATTTGGAAGCACAAAAGAATCTCCAGGCCAGGCTCTCCAAAGTCTCTTTGCTTCTGCAGCTGAACCTCTGTTTATGGCCATGGCAGCAAATAAAAATAAAAGGCAGCTTTAAAATGCTCTGCCCAAACCCTTCATGGCAAGGACAGGAAGCCATCCATTTCTTTCTCTTTGTTTCCCAGGGATCAGCACTTACAAAGGCCTCGTGTCATCAGGTGTTATGAATACCGAAACCCATCAGATTGATTGTGTGTCATTCTGTGGACATTAGAAGTAAGTAAGTATGTCCTCAGTCCATTATTTCTCTCTGCTGGAATCCGGTAAGATTGAGAGAAGAAAGAGATGTTAATCTCTTGTAGACAAAAAGGGGAAAAAATGACTGTTTTTGTTCAATATAAATTAGAAAATAGTGCTGTCCTGAAAATTTATTTTGGTTTTTCTTTTCAGTTCCTGTTAGTGAGAACAATAAACCGGTGGAACAGAAGTTGCCTCCAGAAGCTGTGGGTGCTCCATCACTGGAGGCTTTTAAGAAGCGGTTGGACAACCACATGTCTGGAATGGTAGAGGGTTTCCTGCTTAAGCAAGAGGTTAGTCTAGAAGACCTCCAAGATCCCTTCCAACTCTGTTATTTTGTTCTGTTCTTTTCACCCAACCGCTTTCCTTCACATGGAAGCACAATCTTTTTTTCAAAGGAGAAGAAAACGTTGGAGAGCAGGGCCCATTGCAATCCAGCCTTCCATTCTTTTAATCCTTTTCCACTGGTCTGCTGCCTTTCGTGGCTTCTCACATTTGAATCAGATCCTGAAGGAGGAGACCATGAAGCAGCTAGTCCCATGTTTGTTTGCTTTCCTGATCAGGAAATGGGAGCATCTAGGGAGACTGCAGAGGAGTTGTGTAGGACAACGTAAAAGCAGCAGCTGTGGCTGTCTTACAACCATAAAGTAAATTTTTAAAAGGCCCCTCAAAATATATCTAAATAAATGCATATCCTGAGAATGAAGTACAAAGAAAAGACAGCTTTCCAGGAAATTGGAAGTGAGAGTTTAGCACAGTATTGGCAAAAAGCCTAAAAGTGTTCTGGAAACAGTGCTATCTACGGAATCCAGCAGATCTGGGCAATTTTCATCCAGTCTCCAACCTTCCTTTTTAGGGTAAGTTGAGAAGATAGACAGCTGTGGAACCAGATGGTCCTGGAAGAAGTGCATTATCTGGACCTGTTCCACTCAGGATTCAAGCCTGACCACAGTACAGCCTAGATTGCATCTGCCTGCTGCCTGCCTGCCTGCCTGTCTCTATCATCTATCTATCTATCTATCTATCTATCTATCTATCTATCTATCTATCTATCATCTCAATTTTCTATCCCCCACTCCATCTATCGAAAGAAACGCTGAGTGGCAATCAACCAGTTAATTGGCAATGGGAATTAAGTCCAGATAATGATCTTACATTTGGCAAATCATTTCACAAAGTCTTCCATAAGAGCCAAATAGAGAAGATGGAAATTGTGGGCTGGGTTATGTTACCACAAGATAAAGACAGATTGTACATCAGTGGCTTCATTCATTCATTAATTCATTCGTTTGTTTGTTTGTTTGTTCATTCGTTCAATCGATTTTCAACTCATCTTTTTTGTGACCACCTCAAAGCAGCCTGCCTACCAGGGGTGAGTTACTACTGGTTTGCAATGGGGCTGCGTGCGCACACTTGATTCACTTGCACACACGCTCGCTCTTCTGTGCATGCACAGAAGTTTTTTCATGATGTCAGGGTCAGTGGGCGGGGCCTCCCACCGGTTTTACTACCGGTTCTATAGAACTGGTGCGAATCGGGGGCAACCCACCACCGCTGCCTACCCAATGCTCCTGCCTCCTATCAAACTGGAAGGAGGTGATGAGTGGCATAATGCAATCCTTGCCTGCATCGTCAGAAGTATTTTGGCAACTTTATAATTCCTCTCTTTTCCATATGGCTCAGACCACACAATGGACTCCTGTGGACAGTTCTGATTATCGCAGTTCAGGAAGGACATTGATCGACTGGAGCTTGGCCAAAAGACAGCTGGAAATCTAAGAAGCTTAGAAAGGAAAACTTTCAGGGAATAATTAGAAGCAATGAGTATGTTTATTCTAAAGAAAATGAGACTAGGAGAGACATACAGTAATAGCTTTAATAGTTGAAGTGTTGTCATGTAGAGGATGGGGCAGCCTTGTTCAAAGTTGCTCCAAAAGACACAACAAGGAGGACTTAAATCACAAGGATACAGAATTCATTTGGAATCTGGAAAAAAGGATCATGGATTTCCACTTCAGAAAAGCCTGTTTTAGGAAGGACTCTTCCTTCACTGAGGATGTGGGGCAGGTTATAGTAGATAATCTCCCAGATCCCTTCTCTTAATCATGTTTTTTACGCATGCTGCCAAAATGATTAATGGAAGTGTGATTCCAGAAAAAGAATGGATGGGGGAAATGAATATTTCATCAAAATCAGTAAAATTAGAATTATGTCTCTTTGGCTCCCTATAATCTGCTAACCCATACCTGTGATGATTTAATGTCAGTGTTATCTGGCTATTCTTCTCTGACTCACTCAGAAAATGCATGGAGACTTTTCTTTGGCTTCTGATGGACAATTAAAAATCACCCATGGTTGCCAAGTTGGAGAAAGTCACAAACAAAGAAAGGGTGTGCGTGAAGCCCTCCTTTTCTTTTTTGCTTTAAGAATAACTTGAGATAACAAAGTTGTATCTCTGTTGTTATAGATTTGCCACTCAGCATGTATATCTCACTCAAGCCATGAGTCTTATTTATAACTTTGGATTGTTATTTCTAGTTGAAAACCATTCTCTCTCTCTCTCTCTCTCTTTTACTTTTAACGGTGCTGGCAGTCAGAAATTGAAGCAGACAAAGCTTTTCTTGGCATTGAGCTAAAGAGGCTCATCTGTTTCATTTCTGTATGTTGGGCTGCTTAGAGAAGGACCAGGGCAAACGTTAGCAACATAGATGAAAGAGGGAGAAAGAAACTCACATGTACCTGTAAAGGAGTCCCTAGTGATTTTATTCCTCTAGTCATTGCCAATTTTAGGAGGCGCTGCTCATCTCTGTTTCAGCCGGTGTTGTCCGAAGACGTTTCTGAGATCATGTGGCCAACATGAAGCCCTGGAATGCTTTTACTTTCCCACCAAAGTGGTACCTATTTATCTATTTGCATTTCCATGCTTTTGAACTAGATTGGCAGGAGCTGGTACAAGGATGGGACCTCACCCCAACATGTGGCACTCAGGTCTTGAACCCAGACTACTGACTTTCCCAGCATCTTAACCACTGAACAAGGATCGCTATGCGGCTATTTTGTTTACACATTGTAACTCCAAACTGTTCTTAAACAAAGTGGTCGGTAAATGAGGGTGAATGAACCCTCCTCTTCTCTCCCCCTGTATTTTCAGGCCACATTCAAAGAAGGTGCACTTCCCTTGAGGAATGCATATATTCCTTCTGAATGTGTGGCAAATGAGTGGTTTTTTTAAAACAGAGAGAGAGAGAGAGAGAGAGAGGGAGGGAGGGAGGGAGGGAGGGAGGGAGGGAGAGAGGGGCTAAGGAATATCTGTTTTTCTCTGACTGAGATGATATCCCAAAGAATGAGTCATTCTTACTTCTTCTACTTCTGGAGACCCTCCAAAGCTGTCCTGAAGGAGAATCTAATTGCCGAAATTTATTCATTATTCAGTGAAAAGCCAGACTGAAGCATTGTGATGGCAGCCAGACAACTGGAGCTTACAGGGGGCTGAAAGGGAGCCGCAGGGAAGGTAGAGCAGCTCGTACCGGTTTACTTTTACTTTACATATCTAACTTTTAAACATTTTAATTTTTCTTTGAGGGAACTAATAAAAATCAAACAAGCATTTTCGATTCAGCCCTGACTCAAATTGGGTGACATTCATCTGTCTAAGCAAAGCTGGACTCTTTGTGGCTTAAACTAAAGCTTGAGGACTGCAATATCCACAATCTCTAGATCGTGACACTTTTTTGGGTCACCCTGTGGACACCTCAGTAGCTCTCATGTGGCCTTGAACTGAAAGCAGGACTACGAAAAGGACACTCTTCATTTGATTGACACTCCTTATTTTGGCTCACAACTTTCCACCATGTGCCCTTTCTAATAAAGTGTGTCTGCACGTGCACGCACACACACACACACACACACAAACGCACACACACAAAAACAGACACACACACACACATATCGTCTATCTATCTATCATCTATCTATCTGTCATATATGTATCTATGAATCTATGTATCTAAGTTATCTATCTATCATCTATCTATCTACCTATCTATCTATATATACCTTGCTGGCTGGCTCGCTCGCTCGCTCCATCTATCTATCTATCTATCTATCTATCTATCTATCTATCTATCTATCTATCTACCGTCTTTGTTAAATAGCAGTTGAGCAAGTCATCTGAATGGGAATATACCCCAAGGTGCCTAGTTAGTAAGGAGAGATACTTGTTCTTGAATTAGAAACTTGAGGCTATGCAAGGAATTAACCAAGATATTAAGCAGAAAAGTGGAGAACAATAAATCAGCACAGAAGTGAAAGCAAACATTTTGGAATGTACCGATTGAGATAGTGGTGATATGGAGGGACCAAATGAGAAGGACAACTGCATTAAAAGCCACACACAAAAGTAGCATACTTTTCATGTCATTTCATAGCTCACAGCAGCCCTCATTCCAGTGGACAAGGCTTCTGGGCATGGAGAGAAACCTGACCTTAGGCTGATCCCATCTGCGGGAAGGACCACGGGTGGCCCTAGAAGGGAGGGGAAAGAAAACAACATTGGCACTTGGCTCTTAGGACTGAGGGAGCTGGTGTCCACACAACTCTGAAAGAAAGTTGTTCTGTTTTGTGTCTATGGAGATTCTCCATCATCCAGGTCATGGTTGTCCCAAAGGTGCTTTTTCAAAAGGCAACTGGACTTGTTTTTCCTAGTTTTCTAGTTTTTCCTACAAGCCCAGTTGTCTTTTGAAAAAGCACCTTTAGAGTCTGTTTATAAACAGTTTATATACTGTTAGAGGCTGATAGTATATAGAAGAAACAACTCAATGTCCATTTGAATTAACCAAAATAGTATTTGGGCAAACTGAACCAGCAAGAATAGCTTTGCATGTGATTGGATTTTTTCCCCTGCTCAACTCCCTGAGGTCCAATCAAACTCTATTATAATTAAAGTGAGTTTTGCTATTGACGTCATGTTGGTTGAACCCTGTTTGAGGTTAAAGTCAGTATTAATCCCTCCAAATTTTACGTTTTCTTTCTGCAGCAGCTCCAAGCCTCTTACAACTCCAGAAGACCAGAACAGCCTCCTGGGTTTCCGTTATGGAGTTGACGTCTCCATGGGACACACATTAACACGAAAACTGATGAAGGGATGTGAGTTTCTTAGATTCTTCCACGCAGAGTGCAAGATCCATTTCAGAGTAGCATGAACAGCAACGAAGACTTAGAGCTCTCTGTTTAATCCTTAGCAGGTGGGCGTCCACATGGACGTCACTCTCATGCATCAGTAGTGAACCTCAAACATGACCCCTTCTTCGGTGAGAGAGGGATAATTCTTCTGCCATGTTTATTTTAGCCCGTGCTCCCATTTTGAAGGGGAAACGTTCAACCGTGCTAAATAGTTGCAAGTTAAAGGTAACAGATGTGTGAAGTGACTTGCATCCTTGGAAGCAAGTCTAGCTAACAGCTTCCCTTTTGTCCAGCTCTGTGGCATGCAGATGTTTGTGCAATAAAAACAGCTTTAAATTGACTGGGGTCTGCTGGGTATGTTTGATTCTAAACAATCAGGAACACTGGAAGTTTTTAAGAAGAGACTGGGCAACCATTTGTCTGAAATGATATAGGGTTTCCTGCTTGAGAGGTAGGTTGGATTAGAAAACCTCCAAGATCCTTTCCAACTGTGTTATTCTGGTATATTACAGTATTTTTTTCCCATTTTGCTACTCTTGACTTAAGCATATGATACAAAAATGCCACCATTGAAGCCTTCTGAGATGCTAATTGCTGATCGATGAGGTGTCCAAGACCGAAGTGAAAGCTGCAAGATCTATGGAGCATCTTCAAACGCTCCATCCAGATTTCCTGGTAGATGTAAAGGCTGTTATATTCATCAGCTCTTGCAACAAACAAACGAAAAAAGCTCTCTGCCTGATCTAAAAGCCATCATGGGGAGCTTAAGTCGTTTCCTAGGTGTGTGATTGCTTAAGCATTTGCACACCCTGCATGACACTGTATAATTTTAGTGACACACTTTCAAATAAAGATCAAGTGGGCCACTTAGCTTCATGCTGCTTTTCCCATCTACTGCCAATTCTGTTTGTTTTGGGGAAACTTTCATGTCTCTTGGCCCACAGATGGCTTTTCCACTTAGGGTTACAGATGGTGGAGCAATGTCCTGATAAAACATGAAGTGACTCTCCTTTGTAATTCTCTGGCTATTCCTTCCTGTTCACCTACGGCTAAGAAGTTGACCAAAGAATCCACCTGGTATTTCTATCAGTTCAAAAGATGAACTCTCAAAGAACTCTGATGAGGATCCAGATGTAGTATGTGGAATCCACCTGGACATGTTGATAACCTTAACAAAATATTTTTGCCTTCCTGTCAGATAGATTATGTGTTTTATTTGACAAAGAGCACTATTCTTAAATTCTCTTCAAATGTTGCTTATCATAAAAAAGTTTAGCAAATATCAGTCTCAGGAACATGTCTGTTTTACAGGTCATAATATCTGATGAGAATGGAAAACTCAGTTGGAGTCATGATCTGTACCATCAATGCACAGAGAAGGTACAAAAAGTTAAATCTGAAATGAATGTAATAAATTGGTTTCCCATATCCAACATCCATGTTAACAAGGCAGCAATATTATCAACCCATGAACTGAATTAGGATAAGCAAAAAGGCATTGGGCTGAATCAGAGAAGTTTAACTGAGCTTGGAGCCCATTGAAAACAATGAGAACAAAGCTAACTAAATTCATCCCTACCTCCTCCAAGTGGAAGGTAACCAGTCTCATGCTGGCCAAATCAGGAAGTGTGGATCACGTCTTGGACTCTGATGGAAACCCCCACCCCCCAATGGAAGATCTGTTTCCAAAGGCACCCAGAAGCTTCACTTGGGGGTCCCTAATAATTTGAACCCTGAACTTTCCATTTTCGTCCCTCATCTTTAAGGGAAAGAAGACTGGCAAACTCAGGCAACAGCTCTGCTTTCTGACCAAGACGTAGGAAGTTGCAGGAGACCATTTGTCAGATTTTATCAATGGGTGGTTGGGTTTTGGTGGATGGAATTTGGGGGATGATTAAGAATGAGAGATATCACAGGAGATTTCCCCCAGCTTCAACCCATCCAAAATTCCAGAAAGGGGGCCGAAATTCCACTACTGAAATTTGGCCTGCCAGCTGTGGTTTGCTCACTCCTACTCTAAGGCAATGAGGTAAGGAGAATGTCATAAGACATCCAGATGTTGGACTAAACAATCCTTACTGTGATGTCAAAGCTGAACATCTGTCCTCTTCAGATATCGGTCTATTCTTTTTAGAAAGAGTTAAATTTGGAAGAAATAACATTATTTGACTTGTAAAAGAGAATTTGAATTAATATAAAATACGTACTGTTAAATACTCAGAAAAGGTTCATGATCTCGCTGAAAGAGGTCCAAGTTTTAAAATGCCTCATAAATGTAGATAGAAGATGATAACTCAAATACTTGGAAGGAAGGACTGAAGAAACTGACAGTAATGTTAATTCTGCTGTCATGCAGGATAGAACAAAATATCTTAACATCTTAATAAAAATTAGTCTAATCCAAACCCCAGATCCAGACTAAAAATTTATCTTAAATTTCATATTGTCCAGCTAAAAAGTTCCTAAGATTTTTCTCCTTTATTTTTTTTTTTCCTGGAGAACAGCAAGAAAAGAAGAATGGCTATTTTAACATTATTGTTTGCAGGATTTGTTTTGTTTATTGTTTTTTTGTATTTGCCATTTTTTGGTTAAGAATCAGAAAGAAAAAGATAGGGAAAAAATGGAGGGCAGCAAGATGGAGCTGAGGAAAATTATTATTTGTTGCTTTTTTCATTATGAATTTCAAAAATTGTTGGTTTTGCTTGGACTAAGGCATGAGGACCTCACAATCTAGATGAGATTGTAGCTATCACACCAGCTGTAACTACACAAAAGCTCTCCTGGCCACAGTTACCTCTGGTCTTTGAGTAGAAGCTCAACTCCAGAAGGGGTTTCAAGGAATCATCCAGTCCTATATTTGGAAGAACAACGAAAGAGAGGGAGAAGATTCCACAGAGATCTTTTTAGGAAAGAAATATTAAAACATTTTAGCGATATTTATGCATGTTTTAACATAGGATGCACAGGCTTACTAAAACTGCATAGTTTTAAAAATTATATATTGGGTGTTTGGGGTAATTCATCAGAAGATGAGGAAGGTGTGGCCATCAGAACCAGTTTAGGAAGGACAACCAAAAACTTCCATTAAGGTTGTTAGAAAGTCATTCTTCATTTCCTACTAAAGTTATAAATAAAGCTTCTTTCTTAACACACGTATGAGGAAAGCATTATCTTTTGTTTATATTACTGCACTAAATTCTTTTTGCATAAGACAGTTTCATCCACCAATATCGCATAGCTTTCAAAGATGAACAGACTTACCTATCTGTAGTTCTGCTGCTTCTCCCCTCTATTTCCCTTAAGGAAAGAAATGCCAATGCCTGACTTAAAACTGGAAAAGCAGAAGCGCCACCAGTGAAGGCAATGATTGAGGTGGGGAGAAAAAGATTGTGCCTTGCAGTTCTAACTCTTCATTGTGAAACCATTATTCTTCTCCAGAGCTTGTTATAATACAGCCCATAGACTGAGCATTCCTCTATGGATTTGGTGTGGTGTGTATGTGTCTTTGTGGGTCTTTGTGTGTGTGTGTTTTGCATATGTGTGCGCGAGCAAGCAGAACAAATTTTAGATGAGCTCTAAAGTGCCTTTATGGTGCATTTGTGATCTGCTATCGTTTGTCACTCATACGACTGATGTCAAAGATTTTGCTGTGTATCAACAGAGCCGATCAGTTTGGTTGGTGAACAGAAAGCAGCTTTTGTGAACTTGACTGGAGCTGTGCCAGAACAGTCCCTCATGTCATTTTCAGCAATGCTCTTCTCACAACGCCCTTCCCTAAATCATCTTTGGTAAACCTTTCAGCCTCTAAAAACAACAGGTCTGTAAAACAGAATAATGGCCTGTTTATCAACAGAAGACAACAAGGGTATGGGGTTCGTAACTCATTCGATTACAGGAATGGGAAGTCAGCCAAGGACTGCATATCAGATTAAAAAGCTGGAGAGAGAAATGAAAGAGAAAAATGCAGGATTGTTTTGGCATGTCACGGCTTCTGCTGTTCCTGACGTAGCACACGGGGCAGAAACTATGAATGCTGGATTGTTTTAGGCTGTTTCCCCCAATGCTTGCAAAATGGTCTACCAGCACCAGTAAATAATGAAGCTCTTCCTGGAAGTAAAATATTAAATGCATGATATTACATGCATTTAATAAATTTGATAAATACAGACTATCAAAATACATATATGCAGCATTAAAGGTCCCAATTAAAGTGATTAATTGGCTCAAATTTGGCTTAAAATTCCAAGTTAATTCCAGGAAGAATTCACATGCATATTAACATCTACATGTACAAATGTGTTCTCCAAATGGGAATTACATTACTGGGACAGATATAGTATTTTGCTGAAAGTGATCTCAAATCCTTTGCTATCCAAGAAGTCTTTATAGTTCTTCATTTTTCTATGGTTTTTTTCCCCCTCCTTATTGTTCCTTCAGTCTTCAATACTTGTTTCTTTTTAACAACAATCATACCTGGTTTATTATGGGCTCAATGTTTATCAGGGTATAGTTGGAAGCCCCCTAAGAGCTTAACGTTTTCATTGCCCGCCTCCTCCTGCTGCTGCTGCTGTGTTTATTCATAACCACCCCACACCAAGAGACTGGAAGGAAAAGCCCACTAATAGAGATTAAAAAGCAAAGCCACATTGACTCTCGGCTATTGCCATGGTCTTATTATTTCACGGAGTTTGATTGCCCTCCCCTTCTCTCCACCTCTGCCCCTCCTCCACAGCCCTGGGGGTTTTGCAATATTCTCCTAGTCAAGGAGTAGTCCTGCTTGGCTTCTGCAGAGTTTACACCCATCCATTAACTGTATCCAGTACAAAACACCCTTAGAGGATTATCCAGAGTAAAGTTCACGGAAGCATCCCCTCTTTTTCACATTTCCAGATGAGCCTGAAAAAGAGATCCCGCTGCTTTAGGAATCTCCTTATTAAAATTAATGGATCTCTTAAGGCAGCCAACATATTTTTTTTCCGAGCTTATTGAAAGCCTGGAGAGAGAGAATTAAAGAGAGAGGGGGGGAGGGAGGGAGAGAGAGAGAGAGAGAGAGGGAGAGAGAGAAATTAAAAGGCTTTAAGGAATAGCCTTGGAAGTTAGAAGGCTTTGTGCCTCTTTGCTGGCCACTTGTGACCATCTGGATTTTTTCAGCCCCAATCTGGTAGATTGGTATGGTGTACATTAGTTCGAATTATTTGTTTGTTTGTTTATAAAATTTATTGGCTGCCCATCTTCCCCAGCAGCAACTCTGGGTGGCTTACAGTCATTATTATGACCGCAACAAGAACCTATTTCAATTTAAATATTTAATGTTCTAATAATTTGTTTTATGTCTCTGCA